CGATCTTTGAAGGAAAGAGCGTTTCGTCATCCAGCTGGTCCTGCACCCACGTCATCAAGTAGTCGATGTACTTCGGAGCCGAGCACTTGATCGGCTTCTTTATGTTGGTGCCGTCCGCCCAGTGGTACTCGTACCTGCGGGGCGAGGGAAGGGAAATAAATTCGGTGCTCTGAGAGGAAAAAAATCGCATTTTCAGGCCCCGCGGCTTCCTCCTTGTTTCAGTGAGGAGGGACCCTGCAACACTCGTGCTCCTCAGAAGCGACGAGAGCAGCGCTTTGCCTTTCCGAGTTTCTCAAGCACAACAACAGTCAGAGTTAACACCTCCATCCCGACCGCTCCAGCCATCGCCCTCAGGGTTTGACCCTCAAAAAGTGAACTTCAACTTTGTGGCAACCTCCTCCGACATCAGCGTTTCCTTAAAACGTGACAAAAACCGGCCAAAGGAGAAGCGTCAGGGCCATCGCCCGCCACCTGAATTAATTCACCTGTGGCTTTCAGACACCCCCCCAGGAATTTGGCGCTCCCTCTCCCCTCACACAAGATGGCCGACTTCCCCGAGAGACCGTCCCCGGGGCCGCACATTACCCAAAGGCTTTTGGAAGCCGCCGCCTCGAATCAACACGCGTGCTTATCGATCCCACGGCTCCTCCGAACCGGGGCAGATGTTGCCTCTAAGGCTACGCGACGACACAACCCGCTTTCTCTGCCGTCTTTTGCAGAATGCTTCAAAAGCAGGGGAAAAAACCCCGTGTTTTGACTGTCGCCTCTTGACTGACGACAAGCGAAAACAAGCGGTGCCATTTAAACAGGAAGTCGTTACAGGAAACGTCCCCGAATATAGAAGCAGGAACTTGCAATCTAGATACCGCTGGGTAGAAAAGCGGGGCAGGGTATTACAACGGCACCCTACAAATACTGCCCACCGGCCAGACTCCACGCTGCGGCCCCGAAAAACAAAGAGCCTCGAGCAACCTTACAGACAAGATACCCTGCTGCAGCTTCACCTCGACAAAATACGCAAGCGCGGAACCAACGCGCAATATTCTTCTCCCCGCGGGTGTTCGCACCTCCTAAAAACAACAAGGTGCCCCAAATACACCTTCGCTATTTCCGCCTTCCGCGATGCCCCGACCTTCTCCTACAAAGCAGTTACGCTACGTCAGCTAGCTAAACGTGTCTCCTGAAACCCACCGCCCGCACGATGGGCGCCGGGGCGAATCGAGGGACGACAGCCCCTAAAACCGCCTCGGGGTCAACACACGCTTCGTGCCCTTTCACGGCCTGCGCCAGGACAAGCATACTTCAGGCCCGGCTGATTCAACAGGGCGGGTGGTAGCAGCCTCGATGCGGGGTAGGGGTCGGCAGGACCCAAAAGACACTTAGCCATTCCTTACTGCGTCTCTATAAGCGTGAGGTTCCCTTCCCAGCTTTAACTTTCCGTGACGACGACAGCGTCAGGCTGCCCTCTCCTCCCTGCATGGCCATCGCATGCACCGTACAGTAACCCGACCCGAGCGTTCGTCTGCCTCACGTCCCGCCCCGTGCCGGCAGCAGCACGTTTAGAATCGCTCGCGCTCAGAAAAAAACCGCGCTACGGCCTCTCGGAGCACCGGCTCTGCGAGACGGCACATCGAGAGGTTTCTGCGAGACTTTGACAGCAAGACCAGACACTTCCAGTCATGTTAGATCTCTCATTTTCCTTAAAACAAACCGTTTCAACGACGTATCTTTTCAGCTTCCAAACAACATAGGGACCCGATCGACAGGGGGAAAAAAGAGATCC